CCCCCAGGTCTCTACCCCCCATGTCTGTGCTCCCCAAGGTCAGTGCACCCCCAGGTCTGTTCCCCTAGGTCTATGCCCCCACTCTGTGCCCCCCAGGTCTGGGCCCCCAGGTCTGGGCCCCCCGTCTCTACCCCCCAGGTCAATGCTCCCCAGGTCTCGCCCAGGTCTGTGCCCCCAGGTCCATGCACCCCCAGGTCTGTGACCCATCAGCTGTCTGGGGTGGTGACCAGGTGTGGGAGGCTGGAGACACACGGGTCCATGGGGCACAGACCTGGGGGGCAAGGTCCGTGAAGAGGCCGGCCCAGGCTGCCCCCGCCTCCCTGTCCCCAGCACCCACCCAGCTCAGAGGTTGCCTCCCAAAGCCTCCCAAAGCCGCTACGATACTCAGGCACCGTGGCCTCTGTCCATGCGGTACTGTGCTCCCCACTGCACCCAACACAGTCCGTTCCGCCATCTTGTTACAGTGCAGCCTCGTTCCCCAGGGAAAACCTAAATACGCTCCGCGACTGCCTCGCACGCTGGGGCTGCTCAGGCCGTCAGAGGAACCCCAGAGGCCCTGCTGCCCGCAGCACCCACTGCCGACGTCTCCGCCAGACGGTACAGGAAAGCCAGTCTCTGGCGGTGCCTATGTGCGTGTGTGTGTGTGTGCATGTGCGTGTGTGTATGTGTGTGCACGTACGCACGTGTGTGTGTGCATGTGCTTGTGGGGTGGGGCGAAAGTGAGGAAGGAGGGGGCCCAGCACAGCACCTCCTCCGGAGCTGTGCGTCTTCACCCGCCAGTGGGGCTCACCCCTCCCGTCTGGGGATGGAGCCTGGCACCCAGAGGTGACAAAGGCGCGGGGACCGGCACGGCAGGAGGACACTGCCCCGTGTGAGCAGTGGCAGGGCCGCGTGCTGGCGGACACCGCAGGGGTGGCTCTAAGCCGTGTACTTGTCAACCTGCACTAGCACAGCCGGGCTGACCAGGCAACCCCAGCACCAGCTCCCACAGCCAGAGAGGTGGATGGCGGGGCAACCCCAGCCCTTGTAGGGACAGTGTCCCCGTGCCAACCTGGGACTGGCCCCTGCCACTGGCACCCGTGTGACCTCGGGGTCTGAGGAGGCCCTCGTGGGCAGCGGGGAGAGGATGGGGCATCGGGAGCACGGGGCTGTGGCTGCCGTGCAGCAGGGAGACGGGCTCTGCTGGGTGGCTCGGGGCCCAGGGACTGCCCCCCCCCCCCCCCCCCCCCGCAATCCTCCGTCCTTCCTAATCTCGGGGCTGGACCCTTGGCGGTGGCCACTCACACGGCTGGAAGGTGGTTTCATGGCCAAGTCTAGCAGAGAGAGCTGGAGAACTAAGTTGCCAGTAGGATGTGGTCCCTCCTGAACCCCCCCCCCCGCCCAGTCTCCTCCAAGGCCCGGCCTGTTGCCGCCTGGGGGCCCCTGGGCTCCTTCCCCCTTGTCAGAAGCACAGGAGGCCTGCACGCCCAAGTGCCCGAGGCCAGCGCAGCCCCCGCTGCTCCTACACAGAGCTGAGGACAAGGGTTGTGTCCCAGGCCCAGCCCAGGGACCACCGGAGGGCCTGCGGGGGCTGTCCTGCTGTGCACGGCGGCCCCGGCGCCCTAGGGGGCAGGAGGTCCAGCCCAGCGGGCCCGGGCGCAGAAGTTACGTCTTCCTTGCGGGGCAGCTTGCTGTGCTCCCTGCCCGCCCCCCGCCCCCATACACACGGCCCCAGCAGAGCCCCGAGCACGGGCGCCCCAGGCCCGTGAGTTAGCAGGGTGCTCAGCAAGAAAATCACCATTTTTAGAGAAAAGCACAAAAACACCAGACTTTCATGTTTTCAGGACAGGAAAGATGGGAAGGAAGCTGCATTAAGAGGTCAGGAGCACGAGGAAGCCCCGCCCCTCCCGGTAGAGGGGGCGTAAACAGGAGCTGAGTGGGCGGCTCCTCTCTTCCCAAGAGACGTCGGGCGGCTACGGGCGCCGAGCCAGGCCGCGGGGGGCCCGGCCTGCGGTCTGTGCTGGGCGGCCCAGGGTGCCGGCCCTGTGCTTTTGACACAAGTATCCCCACTTCCTAAGACACCGGCAGGGCGGCCGCAAGACGGCAGACAGTGCAGCGGGCGGTCAGGGAAGCCGCTTGGGGAAGACGCGGGTGGGACAGGACCCCAGGCGTGGCTGCCAGGCATCTTGAGAGCAGTGAGGCCGGGTCCCCGGGCAGGCCCCGGGCTGGGCAGGGTGCACATGGCAGCAGACCAGAAGCCACGAGCAAGGAACATGCCAGAGGGTGGCGGCCCCAGCGCCAGTGACCCTGCCCGGAGGCGTGGCCGGCCTGGACCCCTCCAGGTGAGCCTCAAGCCCACCTGGCTAACCAGGGTCACTCTGCCCTCCAGTGACTGGGGGCTGCTCAGGGGACCCAAGGACCACTGCTCCACCCTGATGCCCACGCCCAGTCTACCCCCGCCTACCTGCTGGGGCAGGGAGCGCCTGGTGGTGCCCACTGCACACAGCGGCTCACACCCCCTCCCGAGACCCCGCCCCACAGCCCTCCGGGCGGAACCCGAGACCCCCTGCTGCTCTGGGCCCCTTCCTCCACCCCACGCCTGCTTCTGGCCACACACAGCGCTCTGGATGCACTCCAGGGAGGACCGGCACCTCCCACGAATGCCCCCCGCATCCCCTCACCCACACCCACACCCACACCCACACCCCCGCCCCCGGCCCCGGCCCAGTGCCCATGCTTTCAGCCCCGCCTCCAGCTCTGGTCCGGGCCTTCGAAGGAGGCGGGAACAAAGGAAACCCACTGACCAAGATCTGTCAAAACGGTGGTGGACCGGTTTGCCGACAGCGATACTGTAATTAGGAGGATGTAGTGAGACTGGCACTGCAAACACCACTGTCACCCAGACGTCTGCGGGGGTCACTGATAAAGTGTGTCAAGTTCCCCCAACACTGAACCCGGGCGCATCTCACCAATGAGAGGAGGGGGCTGGGCTGCCAGAGCCCCGAGGAACGTAGGGAGACGTGTGCGTGTGCACGGGGGCAGGGGTCCCAGGGCAGAGATGGGTCGGGGGACACTGTGCTCGTCCACTTTCCTCCCAGCTT